GCTACAAGTACACACTTGTTGCAATTCGTGTTTGGTACTTCAGTTCCGATGACCTCGCTGGCGAGCCGCTTTTCTTCGACGCCTGGCACCGGGGGCCAGGCGGTGATTCACTTCCGTTGCTTCCCCTTCTTCGGAGGCGGCCGTTTTCGTGTGCGGTTTGGGCGGGAGCCGAACTCGGTGGGAGACCGCTGTTCTCAACGCAGGGAGTCTGGTGGAGTCTGCTGAGCGGTCACCTATTTAGATGATTTCGATGCCCTTTACTTGGGATGAGTCCCAAAGGTTTTGAAGTAGGGAGATCTAGCAACAGACCCCCTGGAAGAAAGGAAATAGACCCGTTTGCCCATTGGTTGGACGTCTGCCTGAACATATATACATTCCACAATGGTGTTTTCCTGAGTTCGTTTGACAATAAACAAGACGAAGCACTATTTGGGTGTTCAGGCACAAGGCAACCAAGTAGCCGCTGTTTCGGACAGACCAACCGATCATCGGTGAATGTCTTGACCAATCGAGGCCAGTATCCTCTTGCGGCCTTCTCTCTCTATGCGGCGTTACCTCCCAGTCTTGCTGTGAGAACCTGAGGATGGGAAACATCTATCAAGGCTTTGCGGAGTTTGTTTGCTGTTGCTGGTGGTGTTGTTGTTGTTGTTGTTGTTCTATCCCTTTTTGGAGACATGAGACCTGGGATGTTGAAAGAGATCCTCGTCTCCTCGTCCCACAGAATGTGCTCGCCTTTTGGAGTGCTTGCTCGCGAATCCTACGGGAGTCTTTGGGAGTGGGGGGGGGTTCGACCACCCACCTCAAAACTGCACATTGACATGTTTTACTTGCAAAAACCGCTGGCAGATGGCCGAACTGAGCCGCACGTGTGGCGCGATGGTCTTGACATGACCAAACCACGAACATCAGGTGCAGGACGACTTGCGCTTCATCATCGTGGCGGGGCCCTTGGGCCAGCGAGAGCCTCAGAGCTCACAAATGCGGAAGACGCAGGTGAACAGATGTGTTAACAGCATAGGTGAACCGCATAGCATGACAGGTTTTATATCGTTGTGTCCCACTTCTGGTCACTTCATGGCATGTTTTTTGCGTCAAGAGGAGCTACCAAGTGGTGAATTATGGCGCCATAGTCATATCGCTTCCATCACTTGCAGCTCCTGAAATCACGAAACGTGTATATGAAATATCATGAAGATCACCTCAAATGGCAGCAGCTCCCGTCAGTAGACTTAGATACAAGCTATGCCTCGAGGAACTAGCTGTCCAAGAACGATCAAGATGCAAAGCATCACTGTAGCCTGTTGTTGGGCAGAGGCTTACATAACTGATAAGTCTGTGTATATATGCAAAACGACCTCACTATGGTACAATGACAGAACACCCTCACTAGGGGCCTTTATTTTGTGTTTTGATCTTCCACGTCAAAACGGTTTCCTGGAAGACCAGTTTCCTGTAAACAACGACGGTAGTTCGGGGTAACTCATGGGAAACCCTACATTCCTAGTTACTAACACGGAAGTGGAAACAACCTGTTTGTAGAGGAAATGGACATTCTACGCGGCATGGTCCACTTCGATGATAGTTTCAGGGAGTGTATGCTAATTCAGTGGATCTTGATTAATAATCACTCCTATTGGGATTCAATCACCTCTTCATATGGCGAGTTTATTAGTCAGGATTATTGTTTAATCCACCAATTATTGTACAAAAAAAGACTGTTTGGATTCCAACAATAATCAAACAAACCTGGGATGATTCCAACCACTTCTGTTTATTGATCAAGATCCTACATGATGTGTTCTACCTTCATGGCTTCCAACCACTCCTTTAATGCGAGGCCGTGTGCTGCGGCGGCCCGAGCGTTAGCCGCCTTCTTGCAAAAGCGCTTTCCGCAGGCTCCGGGCGGAGGAGTTCGGAATCCGATCATGTTTGCGCTAAGAGAAGCTACTAGGAACAAGTGCATCGCTTCTAGTAACTAGTAGTAACAATGTTTGCTATTAGAATATAGCTGCAATGTTTTCATGTTTGGGCCTTAGGTAGATGGTCAAGCGCGGGTCCACAGCGGTCGGATCCAGGCCAGCGTGGTGGAGAAGTTCAACGGGTCGGCTCCAGAGGGTCTACTCTCCGAGGAGAGGTTTTCAGACAGAGTGAAGGTGGAGAGGAGGTTGTTTGGGGAGTGGGAGGCGTGGGAGTGGAGAGTGATGGCTGGGGAATGGAGTTTGGGTTGCGGTTTTGGATGTCTTTTGGGGTTTGTTGGGGTTGGAAAGGACACTTGGAGTGTCAAGAAGATGTAGGTGGACATGGATCGACGTGGGTAGGAGAGGAAGTTTGTCATCCATGTGCGACGGTTGTAGAAAGAAGAGAAAGAATCAAAGGGTGCATCGAGTTAGTTCCTATGAGTTTAAATGGCATCTCCGCACAGGTATAAGCACATATGAACCGCAGCAATATAGATCAATGGCAATGGGTGGAAAAGCTGTGACTTTTGGGAGGCCGTTCCAAGCATCTTGGAAGTACATGAATTCTATCCTCATATATCCTCATAAATAAGTATGTGTGATAGCATGTGATAGCTTTTTGCGTCCTTTCAAAACTTCTTTGCGTATCATTTACGTATGTATTTGTAGCCATGGATCAAGGCCCTGACACTCCACTCCGTTGAAGTTCTTGGTGGCCCATCAAGAGCCAGCACCGGAAAGGACCTCTCTGGCGATGGGGCAGAGGAGGAGTTTGATTTCGCTTTGCAGGCCACAAACGGGTCAGCAAGTCCTGTACGTATTCTGCTAGCAGCCAGCAGGTGCTTCGCCGGCAAACAGCGTCCAACATCTTTAGACAGAATTTGTCAGGACTAATTACTCCTTCTTCAAACATCTTCGAAGATCATTTTTTCAGATGTGTCAGCAATTAAGTGCCCACGCGGCCACAGACAGTCTTCGGCGATCGCAAGAGCACAAAAAGAGAAGAATGTGTCGATCAGCACTTTCGGATTCTTTTTGTGTAACGATGAAAGCATGAGACCCAGCAGTCACAAAGGGGTGCTTAATGGAGGTTAGGGGTGCCCATTATCCACTCACTTAGGGACCAAACACCACCCCGTCTTGTGACTCCTGGACAAGGTGTTTTTGTTCTCCATGCTTTGTTCATCACGACGCTTGGCTCACTGGACGAGGTCTACGCTCCCGTGCTCATCCGCTCGCATGGGGCCGAGCGCGCGTGTCGAGCAGACGAGAGCTGGCTAGTGTTCCTTTGGGATGCTGCACAGATGCTGCAGAAGATGAGGAAATGCCGAAGTATGAAGGGAAGTCCACATCCAAATCAAAAGCAAGAATGAAATAGAGCTCGAGATCCCGTGCCGAAATCGAACCGGTTTGCATTTGGATTCCAGCCACCCGCCCTATTTAAACCGGGCTTCCAGATCAAGTTCCTCAGCTTCTTAGAAGCTTGCCAAGCTGTTCTCTCCACAGTGCTTGTGTTTGAGGCCGAGTTCATTTTCTTTGTGGGCGGCACTGGCGCGAAGCGAGGAGCACCAGTTGTACCAGTTGACTGGCTGTCTTCGGCCGAAAGCCTCCGCTGTCTTACTGCAGACAGACACTGCAGACAGACACACACAGACTGGACTTGTTGGGAATCCACCGGACTTGCGTCAGGATCAGCTGGTGATTTCTTCTTGGAATCCACCAGTACGTGGTGACTGGGGTGCCTCGCTTGAAAACTAAGGAGTCGCTGGTGAGTCGGTGGTTGTTTGTAGGGGGAGTAGACTGGAGTTCAAGAAGGTCAAGATGCCAAAAACGTTCTATCCTAGTATTGCTTAAGATAGCTGCCCCTATAGGCTATAAGTAAATTTCAGTACCTTATAATGTTGGAAATTCCTTCTTTCAGGCATTAGAGGAGTCTTTGTTGCCTCGGTCAAATTGATGACTGTGCATGTTCAAGACACGACTGGCGCCAGCAAGGTTGGCGCTGGCCTTCAGCGAATTTCGGCCGGAATTGGCGCTGGGTAGAGGCAGCTACAGGAGTTGCAAGCACGGGCGCCCCCTTGACGTTCTTTGGGATTCTCTTTGGATCTAAGTCTGAGCGGAGTTTAGAGTACAAACATCTTCCTTGTAATTTTTGTTCATGCAAAGGCGAACGCGACAACACCCGCCAGCCTAAGCGCCTCTTTTTTGACAAGCCTTGCTTCGCAGCTAAATCAGATTGTCTTGGGATGTATAAAATCATCACAGTTGCTTGTCCAGCAAGTGACTCAGCAAGTTGGAGAAGTTAATCAGGCGATTTCTGTTGGCTACGGCTACAGTGTCAAGACCTGAGGTTTATGTCAAGTGCCTTTCCGCCCTCACCGGGTGAGGTACCTCTTCTGACAGAGGATGTGGTTGCAGAGCACGGATTCGAGTTCCAGGAGTTGGAGAAATGTGGGAGAAATCGAGTTTCCGAAGACTTCAGAGCTATCCGAAGATTGCTGTCAGCGTTGCACATCATGTCCATGGACAGCTGAAACATGCTGAAACTATGTGCAGTTCTTTGTTCAGCACTGTTTGCGAGTTTCCCTCAGTGCCCCCCTTTGGCTAGAAGTGTACTTGTAGGAGGAAAGGACTCCCCGCTGTTGTTCCTCTCTTTTTCAGCAAAAGAACCCGCCGGGTAACCCTTCTCACGATGGATCCAGATAGACGGTTACCAGGACCGACCAACTGTGTATGGGAAAAGTGTTGCTTGTTCCATCATGTTCCCATGAAGCAGGAGTACTCAGCTTGGGTGAAATGGCTGGAGATGCACTGAGAGCTGTCAAAAAGGAGTTTTTCTTCGCATCCGCGGAAACGGGGCAGATGAGAGCGGTGTTCACATTCGGAGTTGGGTCTCCTCTTGTGCTTCATCTTGCAAGATCCTGGCACTGCCAAGACTTCATGCACCACAACACCGCACATCTCACATCGCGTTCGTGGCAAAGTCCAGCCACAAACCGTTATTCCTTGATGCTGCCTGTTGAACTTGTTTTGTGTCGCCAGGGTGGACTCGATCGTGCGAAGAAAGGCGAGGGGCCTCAATCATGCCACATTGTGACAAGCCTTGTAATTAGGAGGGATGTTCATTGACTTTCCATCTTATCCCGGCGGTGTAAGTGGCGGTGCATTTATCTCTCAGGGTCTGAGAATTTGGAGACACAGTTCCTTTGATTCAAGACCTGAGAGTACACATGCCCCGAAGCCCAAGAATGTCCTCTCCACTGTTCGCTTTGTCAGAAGGTTGACCCGTCCACTGTCAAGCGAGAAGGAAGAACATCAAGCAACACCAGATCCGTATCGCATCTCAGGCTTGTCTCCCCACAAAGACAGCGACGCGTGTTGCAGTTTTCGGTTTGTGCATGGAAATCCATCTTTGCACCAGGCACAAGACCGATACCGCGAGCCCTAAAACACCTTTGACAATGGCCCACACATGTACTATAGCTGTGTTAGTCTGGCATGTGCTGTGCCATGGCGTTTTGTGTGCCACAGCACAAGTAAGTGCACATAGTGCACATGAACGTACTTGGACAAATGTTGCAGCGAGTCAAAGCACTGTAAAACGATATGTGGAAGAAACAGCGATAGGACTCGAGAAGGCTCGAAATGGCAAAGGGAAAGGTAGGTGTTTTAAACAACCTCATGCAGCTTGACGCACAGATCGGATCCGATTCATGAGAATCATCGGTGGACCGTGCAGTATATCGTACAGTCAGCATCAAAGGCGTATGCACCAGTCGCCTGCGATGCTCAAAGCCCCAAGATCATGGATCAAGTCGATGCTTGTCAAGTCATGTCAAGTCACAAACGAATTCTCAAATCCGATACTCAAAGTTCATCAAGAAAACACATCTGCTTACCTCCAAATGCCAGATGAACGTGACGTTCTTTTCTGCCAGATGAGTCGACCCAACTAGTGACCTGGGGTTCTCGGGTCGACGTGGCACTGCCAGGTACACTGAACGGTCAGTCCAATGCCCAGACGGGTGCAGGGCGACAGGTGCTACTTGGGACGAACTCTTGAGATGAACTGTGAAACAGATCTGCTATGAAAGGCATGTAGTTAAACGGAGGAACATGTTTCTTTTTTCACAAGTTCTTCCACTCTTTTTGGATGTTGGCCCGAATCATTCGACATTCCCTGGAGATGAGACGGCAGTGACAAAGGAAAATACGTTGCCTTGAAACGTGATTTGGATCCCTGATGCTCCCTAACCAACATCACAAGGTCTTGTAACATGTTGCTTCCTCCCTTCGATCAGCGAGGATCTTCGAGAATGGAATCAATCTGCCAGCTGAGTTGAGGCACTTCTTCCAACCTTTTTGTGTCCAACAAAAGACCTACCAAACTGCAGCATCATGAATGAACCTGCTTCTGCCTCTTGATGCCTCGTTGATGCCTGCATCGATCGACGGTTGATGAAGACGATAGACACGTCCGCGCTCGGAGCTCTGAAGCTCTCGTGTCCCGTCCTTTTCCTCCACCTTGCCGGAGCCTGAAAAAGAGAAAGGTCCTGTTTGTTTGCCACTCTAGGGAACCAAGGGGAAAAGACCCTTACATACCCTATACCTTCGTTTAATTACCAGGTCCTGAAATACCCTTAGCTTACATACCCTTCCATACCCTTAGCTTCGTTTAAAATCAAGGGTATGACCGTGTTACATACCCTTACATACCCTTACACACCCTTACCATTATTGTGTTTGTTTGTTTTGTTTCAACGAGGCGACGCAAACATCCCAAATCAACCCACAACGGTCCACCGCTCGTTCTCCCGCGCGCCACTGGCCGTTCTCCCGTCGTGCGGTCCGAACGGAACCCCACGAGGTCCTGGGATCCACGGGAACTCATGGCGGCGGCGGCGGCGCCGGGGACGCCCGGGGTGACGTCGACCCGTGAGATGCTGAACCGATCCGGTTCGGGACGACTGGACCCGACCGTTGTGGCACCTACTGGACCCAAGTGTCGAACACGTCGTCTTCTGAGAAGGTACTTGGATCCCTAATAAATCATGTTCATGTTCAATGCAGTCAAGCAACCGTGTCCAATTCTGAGGCAACTGGTTGAAGCACAACAAACAACTGACCTTCGAAATATAGGATCAAGAACCAATACCTGACATATCCAATTAAAAAATCAAATAACATAATATGTGAATTTCCCAAGAAGCATGAGCATGACATGAGCATGGAACCCCAGGAATAGCTGCCACCTCCCTCGCACTTCAGACTCGACTTGCATCCGCAGGGCGCCCTTTCAGGCACAAAAGAGGTGCCATCGGCCGGACCGCCGCGTCTTGGTTTTTGATGGTTAGCGGAGCCCTTTCGTAAAGGGCGACGCCTGGCGCTGACGCTTGCCCGCGCGCGCTTCCTCGAGCGCCCCGCTTGCGCTTCCTGCGCAGCCGGCTGCCGACGGCGGCTGCTGGCTCTCCGAGCGCCCGCTTCGGCCGGTGCTCCACGGCACTACGCTCGGCTCCTTGGTCGCCATGACCCAGCGCTTGGATGTGGACAGGCACGGAGTGCCCCAGTTCAGTGGCGACCCGGAGCTCTACGATGAGTATGAGGAGAGAGCTTGGGACCTTTGGCATGGTCGAGATGGGCAGCCCGCCTTGCAGGCGGTAACCGCAGTGCATCTGCGGGCTGGCTTGAGTGGCCCGGCCTATGAGGCCGTGAGAAAAATGGAACACTCCCGCATCAAGACCAAAGATGCGGATGGCAACCCCACCGACAAGGGCTTAAAGGCTTTTCTTGATGCCTTGAGGACGGCAATTGCAGCAGTGAAGCCCGTCCGCATCAATGAACTCTTCCTCACCGCCTTCTACAGCCCACAGGTTTGGAGGAGACCTCAAGAGTCCATGCAGCAGTACATCATCCGCCGAGAACAGGATTTTCGACGACTTGAAGAAGCTGGAGGTGGCACTTCTGTTCCTCGCAGCTTGAGGGCGATGATGCTGCTGCTCTTCGGTGGCCTGAGTCAGCAAGAGCAGGTTTCAGTTTTGAGCTCGGTGAACAACGAGTACGACTTCGACAAGATCGCCAATGCCATGAGGATTCAGTTCCCACAGGCCAATGGCAAGCCGGTTCACCGACGTGATTTCCTCGGCTGCGGTCGCAGCCCTGCTGCTCGTGACTCAGGAATCCTCTTCCGGAAGGGCTACAAGCCAGGGAAAGGTCGTGGACGACCCCAGCAGATCCTCGCCACGGAAGAAGCCTATGAGGCCTTCGATGATGACATGAATGAGTATGACGACGAGGTCTTCCTAGAGGACGAGGATGAGTATGAGTCCCCGGCCCACGATGGAGCAGAGGCCTTTTGGGAAGATGAGACATGGGACACCTTGGTCCAAGATCTGCCCGACCTCGAGGGCAATGAAGAGGTAGCTGAAGCTCTTGCCACCGTCATGCAGTTCAAGAAGGGCAAGGGCAAGGGAAAGTCGAAGGGAAAGCATTCCTCTTCACCATCGTCGCAGTCCCTGCCATTCAAGGCATCAGGTGACATCTCCTTTGACGCCAAGGCCAAAGAGAACCGGAACACAGCTGTGAAGTTTTTAGAAGTCAGTCACCGCTTGCACCAGCTGTGGACAGAAAGGTCATTGGGTTGGAGATGACGCATGTCCAAGCACCCGCAAGAAGAAGATGCCCAAGACCGGTCCGTCACCTCGCAAGAAGAAGTTCGAAGGCAAGACCACCTTCTTTGTCTTGCACGACAGCTTGGAGTCCGACGATGAGAAGGACATCAATGCGACTTTCACTGGCCTTGCATCCACTGAGAATGACGTGGCCTTTGAGTACCACAAAGCCCCTGTCGAGCATGAGGTCTCATCGAATGCCTCAGTCTCCAAGTATGACCAAATGCCAAAGAACCTCAACTCCTCTCAGTATGAGCAAGTCCCTGCGGATGAGAAGACTCTCAAGTATGCGCCAGGCATCGTTTTGGATGAGCCCAATGACAAGCATGAACCAGAAGTTGCTCCCACTGGTTCTGGCACCTACATCCAGGACAAGAACACCATCGAGCGCAACTACAAGGACGATGGGCTTGCACCTGGAGCATGTTTCACCTACAATTCTCCTCCAGCACATGAAGTGCTGATGGTGCTGAAAGACACCCAGCTTTGCGAGCACAGCTCCTACTTTGGTGGAAATGAACGTGAATTCCATCGAGGAGCCAACGGTCACACCCGTCACGTGACCTGCAAGGACAAAGATTGCAACCAGACCATCATCGTCGCCAAGAGGAAAGACGCCACTCAACTTTGGCGCTACCTGGTGCAGATCGCTCTGTGCACCAGATGGGGATCAGCAGCTCGATCTCGTGAGCTCTTTGCAAGTGTCTGTCGAGTACGTGATCAGGCCCTCAAGGACGATGAAGATCGACGAGCTTTACAGCCTCCACGCGGCTATCCTCATGTACCGACAACACCTGTCAGCCGCAGGTCAAAGGAGACTTCATCACCTTCCTCACCGTCAACGGCAAGAATCATTCGACCTGATGCACAGCAAGAGCCTCGTTTTTGGGCCTATGGAGTGTTGATCTCGCCAACAGTTGATCTCCCTGCATTTCCGCCCTTGGCAGAGGATGACTATGATGTGCTGCAACCTCTTCCGAGTGATGCTGCAATCTTTGGCCCCGGAACTCCATATGAAGGATACACCTACATCCAGATCGCTTCGTCAGTCGAGGCATCAGTGTACTGCCATCAGACCTTGAGAATGGCACTTGATGACCAGGCCATGTCCCCGGAGACCTACCGCTTCGCCTTCTACCTGTTTGGTCGTGTCCGTCTCCTACATGGATGTGCTATGAGGACATGGAAGGCTGGCATCACTTCTCCCTTGAAGAGGAACACTGATCCCGACGACATGGTGGCCCACAGGTGCATCCGAGTTCCGATCTGCATGCATGAAGGGCATCCCGAGATGGCACAACCTCACGACTTTGAGGTGCTCATGGTCAACCAGGACATCAGCGATCATGAACGACTTGATCTTGAGACAACCTACACCACGAGCTCCCAGGATCCACCTGGACTTGCCATCCTAGACTCAGGATGTACCCGAACCATGCATGGCACCGATTGGGCAAAAGCGTTCGAAGAAGAGCTCGAGAAGCTCAACTTGTCACCACGCAGACGCCTCAAGAAGCAGTCGTTCAAGGGTGTTGGAGGCCAAATTGCAAGTGACACAGTCAAGATCTTTCCGGTCGGCATCAACAAGGTCAATGGCGAGCTACATAGCGCTGAAGCTCCAGGCAGTCTCCCACTTCTATACGACCCTTCATGGAGGAGCTGCAGACCGTGATCAATATTGGTGCATGCACCGTGAGCTTCAACAAGATCGGTGTCACTGACCTCCCATTGGTCAAGACCTCACGCGGTCATTTGGCAGTGAGCCTCCTGGACTTTGACATGGACTCTTTTCAAGATTGCTCCCCAGAGCATGCAACCGAACCTGAGGAGACGCTCACAGCACAGGAGGTCGGCTACCACTCTCCCACTCAGTCTGAGTTTGCTGAGGCCAATGATCCCGACATGGTCCATGACTACCACGGCATGAACCCCGACGACTACCACGATGAAATGATGGCCCGTGATCTGTTCCTGGAAGAAGCTCGTGGCATCCGCCGGCAGCTTGAAGCCGAGGGCATTGATCTGTCACACCAGGACCCCATGAATCAAGGGTTCATCTGTGAGGACGTCCACTTCATTGACGACAACCCTGACCAGTTCCTCGTTCGCAAGGCCACCAACAAGAAGAGCAAGAAGATTGACTCTTGGATTGATGCCGTAAATGGTCAAGACTGGCATCAGAGGCAATTGCTCTCCGGCAGCTTCAAGAAGGTCAAGCACAAGCCACCCTATGGCAAGACATGGCTTAAGCAGCTCTTTGCTGGCCAGATGGGACTTTCCTTGTTGGCCATCATTGTTGGACTCTCCATCGGCATCCCTCTGGACTCATCTACATCGATGTGGGATGCGAACACCTCCAGTGGCTACAAGAGAGTCTGCCATGATCTCCAAGTTGAAGATCCCTACCTGACGGTGATCACACAAGCATGCGGCCCATGGGGCAATTGGAGCAACTTCAACTTAGCCAAAGGTGGCCAGGCCGCCATGACGGTCATGGATCTTCGAGAGAGCAATCGCCAGACCCTCGCCCTCGTCAACAAGATCGTCAAGGATCGGGTGCGTGCCAAAAGACACATCTTCATTGAACAGCCTCTCGGATCAACTTGGTTGAAACAACCGGAGTGCTCGGACATCCTCCGCCTGATCCAAGAAGGCATCCTCCTGGTCTTGCGCGTTGATGGTTGCTGCGTTGGTTACAAGGACCTTGAGAGCGGTTTGCCCAACAAGAAGCCTTCGCTCTATGTCACCACCTTTTTGGCAGCTGAAGGTATTTTCCAAGGCCTACTTTGTGATGGTTCACATCAACATGAACACCTTGAGGGCAACAACAGATATGGCTCCAGAACCGCACAGGCATCAGTCTGGCCTGACCGACTCAACGAACAGGCTTCTGCAGAGTCAACAGCAGCACACAACATCTCCGAGGCCTTTCCTTCTGAAGTTCGACCAGCTGAACAACCAGCCGAAGGACATGAACCAAAACGGAGAAGAAGAAAGGGAAGAGTGTCTCAGTTGACCAGTCAATATGGTGCACCACCTGTCTACTTGCGCCCAAGTCAACCTGCACTACCAGATGCAGCTCCAGTTCCTGCGCTACCTGACATTGATGAACAAGAACCAGTACAAGATGATGCATCTCTACGAGCATCTCAGGTGGCACAACTGGACCCCGTCCTCAACATCACAGAGGGCGAGAGGCGCAGAAGGTGGCTCACCATCTCACCAGAGATCAGAAAGATCCTCCGAGACCTGCATGTCCAGTTCGGACATCCCACGAACACCACACTTCAGCGGATTCTTCGTCGGCAAGGAGCCGTTCCTGAAGCTCTACAAGGTGCTGATCTTTTGAGTTGTGACGCCTGTGGCGACAGCATCCGGCGAAGAAGGCCAAAGCCAGTTCGGCTTCCCACCAAGTATGTCTTCAACCACCATCTCCAGATAGACGTTTTCTACGCCAGAGATGTGACTGGTGCTTCGTTCTCCTTCCTCAACATCGTTGATGACGCCAGCTACCAGGTCGTGTCGTGCTTGGGACAATCAACTGGTCCGCCCGCATCTCAAGCGGTTCTCCGACACTTCTTGACTTCCTGGAGCTCTTGGGCAGGACTACCTCAGTCCATACAAGTTGATAGAGGCAAGGAGTACCTGGCCTACTTCAGTGACTACCTCAAGGAGTATGGTGTGGAACAAGAAACTGTTCCTCTTGAGGCACCTTGGCAGAACGGGAAAGTTGAGCGAGCTGGCGCTCTATGGAAGGAAGTTTTCTTCAAGACCGTGCACGAGATGCAGCTTCAAGGGCTTGAGGACGTGATCACAGCCACGACGATTGTCACTCAAGTTCGAAACTCCCTTCCTCGATCCAATGGCTTCTCGCCTGCACAATGGGTCCTTGGAGTCTCTGAGATCCGCATTCCGGGATCACTACTACAAGAAGATGAAGCACAGAGGCTTGAACTGCTCGAGGCAGCCAATGACCCAACTTCTGCCTTTGCCCGATCACTCGGTATCCGAGAGAGCGCTCGCGTGGCCCAGATCCGTTTGGACAATGACTCTCGTGTTCGACGAGCCCTACTACATCAATCCACGCCTACAAGAGGCCCATATCCGATTGGGAGCTATGTCTACTTCTACCGTGCACAAGGATCAACAGCTCACCAATCTCGAGGGCACGCTCGAAACTACAGATGGTTTGGCCCCGCTCGTGTGATCGGCATTGAAGCAAGAAACCAAAGAAGAGCTGAAGATCCAGAACCTCTCACTGAAGGTGGCCAACCTCATGCATACTGGCTTCGCTATGGCCCTTCCGTGGTACTGGTGACTGGAGAACAGCTGAGGTTCGCAAGTGAAGATGAACTACTTGCTGCACATCTCCTTCCAGAAGAGATCATGCACCCTGCTGCCGTTCGTGGAGCGCGAAACTACACTGACCTCAGAGGGCACATCGCAGTACCTCTCCAAGATCAAGCACCTGCATTGCAGTTTAGCCCAGAAGGCAGTGGCGGCGCATCATCAGCCAGCCGACCTGCCCCTGCAGCAAGTGCCCCTGGTCAGCAACCGGAACAAGTGCCACCAGACCCTCAAGTACCAATGCTACAGCAGCCACTTCCAACGCTGCAGAGCGCACTTGATGCCGTGAACCAGGCACCACGAGACGCAGCTGAACTTGAACCAGCTCCACTACCAATGTCGACACCAACTCCGTCCATACCTCCATCACAAGAGGTTTCAAGGCGGCCAAGTGAGATTCTCCCACAAGCAGCAGAAATGCCGGCACCTTCAACTCCTCTACAAGATGCACTACGAAATCCAGACCGGCTAGATTCACACCAGTACCGTCCAGTCCGGACAGAGTACCAGCCGGCACCAGGTCC